CTTAAGCTCTGTGACAAAGCACTATTGGGCACAATGGAACCAGTTGAAGTTAAAGATGGTATTCTTCTCTGGAGATGGGAAAGTGACGACCTGGCAAACGATTATACCGAGAAAGTTACGGGAAGTTGTGCCGCGTCAATCCCATGATACTTTAACATGAGGACATCTCGGAGTTAAGAAGACATTGAGTCACCTACGACAAATATTTTAATGGATAGGTATGAGGCAAGATGTGGAAGAATGGTGCAGGACCTGCAATACATGTTGTGCTAAAAGGGGATCCAAGCATAAAGTACGTGCTCCAATGAAGCTATATCAAGTTGGCCCACCAATAGAAAGAGTAGCCATTGACATTGCTGGTCCTCTGCCCCAAACTCGTGCTGGAGACAAGTACATTTGTGTGGTGATGGATTATTTCACCAAGTGGCCTGAGGCTTATGCAATACCAAATCAGGAAGCTACAACTGTAGCTTTGGCTATTAGTGATTTCTTCTTCAGATTTGGTATGCCATATGAACTGCATTCAGATCAAGGCCGTAACTTCGAATCAGCTGTGTTCCAAGAATGCTGCAAGTTTTTTGGCATCCGAAAGACCAGGACAACGCCACTTCACCCACAGTCTGATGGGATGGTAGAAAATTACAACTGGACACTGGGGCAGGAATTGGCAAAGTTTTGTAATAGCCGCCAAGATGACTGGGATGTCTTTCTCCCACCACTGTTGATGGCCTATAGGACAACAGAGCATGAAGCCACTGGATGCACTCCAGCAAAGTTGATGTTTGTTCAGGAACTTCGGTTGCCAGTGGATCTGTTAACAGGACGCCCACCTAATGAAGAGTTGCCTGAAAACGTGTCAGAGCTTGTGAAAGTGTTATCGGAAAGGATGGATGATATTCACCATCAAGTACGTTCAAACTTGAAAACGTCTGCTGATTCCATGAAGTTATCTTATGATAAGAGATCTACTGAAGTCAGCTTTGTACCAGGAGACAAGGTATGGTTGTATAATCCCAGGAAGACCAAAGGGAAGTTTCCTAAGATGTCTTCTCCATGGGAAGGCACATACGACATAGTGGATCGTCTCTCAGACGTGACTTTCTGGATAAAATGTGGGTGGCGAGGTAAGCCAAAGGTGAATGAAGTGAACAATGGAACAAAAGACGCCACTG